ACGTCAAGAAAAGTCATCTCCATTGAAGACATAGCACAAGACTACCCTATTCCTAAAAAAAGAAAAAACTAACTACACCCGGTTAAAATAAAACCCTTGGAAAAGAACCGCGGCACAAACAAAAAACCAAGTGGGAATTGTTACACTACCTAAGCAAACAAAACAAAATAAAAGGCTAAAAAAATTCTTCGACTTTAATCCCTCAAGAAGACATCCGAGGAAATCCATCATCGGGAAAAGTCAAATTTTTATTTTTATTTTCAATCAAAAGAAATGAAAATAAACACACATACATATTTACATCCCTCACCCCACACTTTATATTGTGGCATATCCCCATGACACACAAATAAAAAGTAAGAGGTAAAGGAAACTTCCCTGATTCATCTAGTCGAAGTCTGGATCGAAGTCAGGATCTCCCCTGCACGCGCGACCCAATGCACACATCCATGCTGAGAGCTTCTTTCAACCTTTTTTGGGTACACCCCTTATTTATTCATTTGACTCTCTCCAGTTTTCTCCATTAGGCCCCCCCTTTCTCCTTCCATCTTGAAAATCAACCTAGTCATAGCCCTCATGTAGGTAGCCCCTGCATTCTTTAACCCAAACGGCATCATCTTGTAGCAGTACATTCCCCACGGTGTAATGAAAGCCGTTTTCTCAACATCTTCTTCATCCATCCAAATCTGGTGGTAACCCGCGAAACAATCCACAAATGATTACAATTCATGCTTGGCGCAATTGTCGATCAGGATGTGTATGTTTGGTAAAGGGAAGTCGTCTTTCGGACTGGCCCGGTTGAGATCCCGGTAGTCGACACAGACTCTAACCTTCCCGTCCTTTTTTGGTACTGGCATAATATTAGCTAACCATGTTGGATATTCGACTACCCTGAGANGCGGTATCTAAAAGGGACTACCGATATGGGCTTATTTTATGGCAACAATTGCAGTCCCGATCTTGTTGGTTATGCTGATGCTGGGTATTTATCTGACCCACACAAGGCTCGGTCTCAAACAGGTTATGTATTTACCTGTGGAGGCACTGCCATATCTTGGTGATCGACTAAGCAATCAATTGTGGCTATTTCATCTAATCATGCTGAGATAATTGCTATTCATGAAGCAAGTCGAGAATGTGTGTGGTTGAGGTCTATAATACATCTTATTCGAGACAAATGTGG